TCAGAATCTCATTTTTATATCTATCTTTGAGAGATAATTCTTGTAGCATTCTGTGAAAGCAAAAACACATTCTTTTCAACTTTGTAAGAGTGTAGTGCTCACAGTGTTTTTTGGACTTAGAAAGTCTGTGTAAAATCCGTGGAGGATTGCTCCATCTGTGAAAAGGTTGCTAGCACCCTGTGAAGCTAGAGAATAGTGGAAAATCTCAAGTGAAGCTTGAGGAGTTGACGTAGGCCGAGTTGAAGCCGAATCACTATAAATTTATTTGTCTCTCTCTCCCTTATCTCTTTATTTTATTTAAATTGTCATAGTTATATTTCATATTTTTATTGTGCTAAAATCATTAATTGACATAGTTGTTAGAACACTTGTTTTACTTATTTTTATTTCATTAACTATATTTATTTATTGTGCTAATCATAATTTTTATTAGGGTATTGTTACCCCCTCATAGGTTGTCTTTTGGGTAACACTAATATTTTTGGATAATGAAAAATTGAATAAGGAACTAATATTTTGAAACGGAAGGAATATATAAAAATATGTAAAAATATTTTTAATTATATAAAATGTGTATTAGAATTATAAATATTTTAACATTATATACTTTTTAATAATATTCATAACCCAATTTTCAATAATATTTGAGTGACGTTTTTCAGTTCTTTCTGGCAGCTTCATTGATTTGATGCATGATGTTCAGTTGCGTCTTTGATGGTCTGTTGAAAGCCTTCAGTTGCTTCCTATCTGTTAGACTGATCTGTCAGTTACCTTCATGCTGGCTGTGGTGATGGTTGCTGTGTGATTGCTGTGTTTCTTGGTGAATTCTATGCTCTTGGTCAGCTGAGTGCTTCATCAGCTGAGTGCTGCAAGATGTTCTGTTTTGTGTTCAGCTGAGTGCTTCATTAGCTGAGTGTTCTGTTTTGGTTGTTAATGCTTCTGTTTTTCTATTTTTCTCCTTTTGTTGGTTTCTCACCAACTGGAGTTTCGAGCTTCATTTAGCTCTGAGCTCTTTTTTATTGATGTACTCTTTTATTTTTGTATGATTCCATCAATAAAGATTTATTTTGCTGATAAAAAAAAAATATATATATATATACCAATAACTATACAAAATAATAAATTGACTCCACGTCAATTTTATGAGATCCACATACAAACTTTGTGTCTTGATTGATATATGGGAAATCCTATGGTGTGTGCTTCTTGTTGAAGGATGCATATCATATGCACCTTATTATAAAAATATATAATTTTATTATAAAATTTTATAATATTAATTGTAAAATATGTAATCTTATTATAAAGTGTGTGTAACAAAATGTCTAAAATTTTGCTATTGATGTTACAAAAGTTTGTGAATTGATTATGACATTTTTTACTACGCAAATTTGTAATGAGATTACATATTTTATAATTGATGTTATAAATTTTGTGATAAAATTATACATTTTTATAATAAGATGCATATAGTATGCAACCTTAAAAGGGTGCACACAATAATATTTCCTTTGATATATTTATTAATATATGTTTGTTAGTGTACATTACTTATCATTTTTATTTAGCAATACCATAAATTTCCAAAAATTATTTGAATTTTTTTTTTGCGATTACTTTATACCAATTCTCAATAAATGTTTGTAGCCAACAAAATGCATAGAGTACACGTAGCCCAATAAAATGCATGGAGTAATAAACTGGGGATGGGAAGGAGAACAGAGTATTATTTTCACTGTATTGAATAATTTCTGTAAGAAATAGACAAAGGATTTGCAATTGGAAATTTTTGCATCATTGTATGTACTAGTTACATGGGCGTCGGAAGGTCCTAATAGCTCTCTTTGGATGGTAATTTACCCGAAATGTATTTAAAGGATATCGAAATGTGTGAAAATATAATAAAAATTTAAGAAAAATATATTAAAATATATTTAAAGTATATCGAAATGTACATGTTTTAACATGTTCTCAACCGTAATGGCTGGAGGACCGTTGACATAATGCATATATAGTAATTATAATTGATCAACATGCATGTAGCCAGGTCGAGTTTCTATTGAGAGGAGTACAAAATATAGGTTACCCCATTAGTTTTTTATTGGATGAGGTTGTTTTTGATGTTTGTGCTTGATTCCTCACAAACTCGTGATGGTGTGCTAGTATATGATTGGACAGTTTTATTAGTGTCAACCTAGTTGGGATTGATTAGGTTCGCTGTGATATTTTTTGCACTCATCCTCCTCCTTATTTTATTGATGTAATAGTTTTCTGTTTTATCAATAAAGTTTCTATTTTTTGCTGATTAAAAAAAAATGAATAATGCTTGGGACCCCCTTTTGGGGGTCACCCCCTCACCCCCTTTGTCACGTGGCAGGTGGTGATTGGAGGAGCAGGAAAAAAAAGAAAAAGAAAAAGAAAATGTAACCAATGAGAGAGAGAGGGGGTCAAAGGGGATGGGAGGAAAAGGGGGGATGAATCATTATTGAGAAAAAATATCACTTAATTCTTTTAACGTTTTAGATTATCAGAGTATACTTTGGAAAGATGTTGTTGGCATTCATTTACTGCTTTATTGTTGTTTTGAAACAAAGAATAATTAATTGCAGCTCTAACGGCCGTAGGGGCAGATGATATAGAAACATTTATCTTGAATCCCAATGAGTTGGCCTGGTCGTTAAGACCTCAAGCCTGAACGTATATACTCTGTCCATGCTTTTAGTTCAAAATCTCTTAAATATAAATAAGGTCTGAAATCTCTTTAATGCAAATAATTTGTTGGAGCTAGTCTGTACGGGACTTTGCCTCACTTTATTTAAGACCACTGCTAGTTAATGGTGGGATTGATTCTCCAAATTAGTCTATCCATTAGAGCCGAATACCAAGTTATAAAAAATATATATATAACAGTTAGCGGAGTGATGGAGACTCCCTCCAATCACCACCCCCACCACCCCCATACACATGTGGCCGGTGGTGATTGGAGGATAAGGAAACAAAAAAAAAAGAAAAAGAAAATTCAACCAATAAGAGAGAGAGGGGGTCAAAGGGGATGGGAAAAAAAATGGGTGTTAGACATTTTTGTAACAGTTATCTTCACTTTATGGTAGAGTTGATTTTCTACATGGTTTGAGAGGTCCAACATATGCAAAAGTCTAATGCATGCAGTACGCTTTGTTTGGATCAGTTTGTTTAATTGACTTTTTAAAAACAGTTTAAACTTGCGGGGGAGAGGAGAGAATCACCAGGAATGAGATTGTCCATGATTTTGAAGGGGTAGAGCGACTTTGCTGAAGTTGAAGAAAAGAAAGCAGATAGTTTGGGTATATAGCGTTGTTTACGCTTCCGGGTCTAAGGTGAATTTGCACCGTTGAAACTTTGCCAAGATTACGTGGCAGTTTTAGTTTGACTTTGATTGTAAATTGTGACCTTGCCGTCCAGTATGTATACCAATATAATTGATTAGGTCATTCTACCATGCACATTCTTTCGGTTATAACTAAAACAAATATAAGCTTCAACTATATAATCAAAAAAAAAAGTTTCAGTTATAACTAAAATAATAATCACAACATATCATAATCAACATCTTAGTGAGTTATAATTTAACTCATACCTAAGGATTTTAAGAAAAGGAGGAGGATTTCCTTCCGTCAAAAATATGGAATGGAGGGAGTTGTTTGGGTCCGTAGGCCCAGCACAGATCTCATTTTGATAATCAGAATCGTTTATTTTGTTAAGCACTTTATGTATTTTATTTATAAGAAAATTAAGTCGATCCGATAAAATTTGTCGATCCGATAATATAACTTGTTTAATTTATCGTGTTTTTCACTAAAAAAAAATATGATAATTATATTTTTAAAAAATAAAGCACATTTTTTTTATGACAAAAATAATAAATTGAACAATTTGCAATTATCGGATTAACATAAAAAAAATATTTGGGAATAAAATGCACGATGTGCTTAACAAAATAAACAATCAGATTATCGAAACGAGACCTTCAGTGGGCCCTCACAGGCCCAAATAGCCTCCTCAATCCAAAATCTGAACCGGAAGGAATCATCCTCCGTAAGAAAACATCACTTGATATATATATATATATATATATAAAACCTTTTCAATTATAATCAAAATAAATATCATAATGAATTCTAATCAACCCCACAATAGATCATAATGATTGACCACCCATTTTTTGTCTAAATTTATTAACTTCACATTTAAATCAACTTCATTCCAATGTATTGAGATGGAAAGTAGAGTTGTTTGTTTTCATCTCCTGAAAATGATATTTTGGACCAGATTGTGACTTGGTTGGAGTACACACTAGCTAGAATTTGATAAATCATTTAAGAAATGAAATTTAGAATGATGGGTAATACATCGTTTCAAAAGTTAAAACATAATTTATCCCGAAATAAAATGTATCATGTAGATTAATAGTTTGTGGGAAATAGCAACATATATAATGATTGTGATTCATAACTATACTTTTTTTGAATATTTTTCTAAATAATTTTTTAAGTTTGTAATATTATTGATAAAATTCACTTTCTTTACCAAAGAAAATAAATAAATAAATGTAACGCTCTATGGGTACTTTTCTATTAACATTAATTTTAAGGAAAAAAAAATTACTAAAAAATTATTGTTATTATTATTTTCAGAAAGGCAAACCAAAAACTAACATATGAGCTTAGAATATTCAAAATGACATATCTCGCATGTGGATGACATTGCAAGAGTTTAGTCGTCTTTAGATGTTTCTTTCTTTCTTTATTTTTTTTTTCAAATCATTGAATCGTATATATTAATGAGTAACATAAATATTATTGAAGAGACATTTCAACAATAACATTCCAAACGAAGCAAAAATCGATATTTGCATTTTTTACTTCGAATTTTCAATGGTCAAACTCAAATGGTATGTAGGAAACTTGTAATATCTTCTCATCCATAGTACAACATTTTCTTATAAATACCCAACCCATGACATCAATTTAGATACAAGAAACAAGAGGCTCTCAAATGAAAAAAATGAGAATTTCAAGAGTTTCCTTGTTTGCAGTCCTTTTGTTACTTGCAGTTTCATTGGCAAGTTCTGATTCAGTTCTTGAGCCCTTTCTTAAATGCCTTGACAAGCATTCAGAGCCCTCTTACCCAGTCTCTGCAGTTGTCTATACTCCCACTAATTCTTCCTATCCTTCTGTTTTACAAGCATACATTCGAAACCTTCGATTCAACGAATCATTCACTCCAAAACCGAAGCTTATAATCACTGCATTGCACAAGTCACACATCCAAGCAGCCATTATCTGTGCTAAAAGATATGGCCTACAGATGAAAATCCGAAGTGGAGGCCATGACTATGAGGGCGTCTCATACTGGTCCGACTCTCCATTTTTCATCCTTGACATGTTCAACTTTCGATCCATCAATGTCAGCATAGAAGACGAGACCGCTTGGGTTCAAGTCGGTGCAACTCTTGGGGAAGTCTATTACAGGATTGCTGAGAAAAGCAATACCCATGGCTTCCCTGCCGGAGTATGCCCCACAGTCGGTGTTGGAGGCCATTTTAGCGGAGGTGGTTATGGTAACATGATGAGAAAATATGGTTTATCGGTTGATAACATTGTCGATGCCCAGATAATTGATGTCAATGGTCGACTTCTCAACCGAGAAACTATGGGGGAAGATTTGTTCTGGGCCATTACAGGAGGTGGAGGCGTGAGCTTTGGAGTGGTTTTTGCGTACAAAATAAAGTTGGTTGCTGTCCCTGCCACAGTTACTGTTTTCAATGTTGCGAGAACGCATGCGCAAAACGCAACAGATATTGTTTATCGGTGGCAACATGTTGCTGATAAGTTGGATGAAGATATCTTCATCAGACTCATCGTGGATGTTGTAAATGTAACCAGCTCAAGCGGAGAAAAGACAAAGACAATACGAGCTTCGTTTTTTACTTTGTTTCTTGGAGACTCCAAGAGACTCCTCTCTCTCATGAAACATGGCTTTCCCGAGTTGGGTTTGAAAGAAGCAGACTGCATCGAAATGACTTGGGCTCAATCAGTCCTGTACTATACTGGCTTCCCCATTGGAACACCGGTCAGTACTCTGCTAAGCAGGGTTCCTCAAGTACTGACCCATCTCAAGAGGAAATCAGATTATTTGAAGGAACCAATGCCGAAAGATGGTTTGGAATTCATATGGAAGAAGATGATCGAACTGGAAAAGCCCGTGTTGACGTTCAATCCCTACGGTGGAAAGATGGCGGAGATTCCAGCATCTGCAAAACCATTCCCACATCGAGCAGGAAACATATGTAAGATTCAGTACGCGACCAACTGGAATGAAGACGGAGCTGAAGCAGCAATCCATTACATAAATTTGACGAGAATGTTGCATGGTTACATGACTCCATATGTGTCCAAGTCCCCAAGGGAGGCATTTCTCAACTACAGAGATCTTGATTTGGGAATCAACCACAATGGCGCTAACAGTTATGCTGAAGGTGCTGTTTATGGGATCAAATATTTCAAGGGTAACTACAAAAGATTGGTGCAAACAAAGACTAAAGTGGATCCTCATAATTTCTTTAGAAATGAGCAAAGCATCCCAACTCTTCCATCTGCCAGGAAGTAAAGTGATGAAGTCTATGTAATATAGATCAAATCCCAACTCTTCCATCATTTGTATCCTTGATATTGCTTTTTAATTGTTCAAACAGAGAAAAATAACTTGGCGTTCTATTATGTAAGAACGGCCAAAAAAATAATTAAATAAATAAATGATATGAAATTGTACCATATTTCATTAGTGAAATTATTCAGTAGTGTCGAAATCTTATGTAATATTATTTACCTCGTGTTTCAAATCAATACATAGTCAAAATTTTTACAGGTGTGATATGTTATCTTACTTTTATTAAAGAGTCAACAAACAAAAGATGATTTATTTAGTATATGTTACGATTTTATGTTAATTAAAAATATCATAAAAAGTATTGCTCAAGATTCTTTGAGACCTTAGACTAAATATCAAAATAAAACTTTATCTTCCTAGATTTTTAAACATTTGGGACTTTCAACAATAAATTTTTTAAAAACTTTTACGAAGATCTTAGGCACAGATTAACTAGTTTAATGGTTAGGTTATTTCTACATATAAATAATGTCACATAATATTTCGAAAATATGTTCAAATTTTCTTTGGATTTCTATATTTTCGAGTTAGCCATTCGACTTAAAAGAATAGTTTGGGCTTGACGGGCCCATTTTGGGAGCAACTTTGATAATTCGAATTGTTTACTTTTTAAGATCCGCTGAATATAATAGTTATGCAAAAAATTAAGATGATCGGATATCGATAATCATACGTTTGAATCACATTATATTGCAAAAAATTAATAGTTATTATTGAAATTATATTTGTTGTCTATCTTTGTAAGATAAATGTGATTTAAAATATAACTACCGATATCCGATCATCGCGATTTTTGCCTTAAATATTCTATTGTACGAGTCTCAAAAAATGAATGATTCAAATTACTGAAATCAGCTCCAAAACAGACCCACTAAGCTCAACTGCCAACACTTGAAAGAATCCAAATTTATTTACTTGTTGGACGCTAAGAAAAAAAAGAAGTCTCCATATCTCAAGGATTTGAATTTACTAGGTGAAGCCTGTAGACATTTGGCAAAAATTTACAATTATTATTATTATTTTTTGTTGGTTCACTAAAGAACCCCGCAGAAGTACTCTAAGAGCATTTTTAATGATTAAAAATTATTTATTGTGTTTGATTTGAGTTTTTTGAATTAAATTTTTTGAAAATTGAGTTTTTTAGTTTTCATGTTTTTTTGTTTTTAGTGAATGTTTTTAAAATTTTAAATATTTTTTTTTTACTTTTTTAGATGCACCTTACTTAGTTGTATCTAAAAAGTAAAAAATTTGTGAAAAAATATTTTTAGAAATTAATAAATACATAAAAATACAAAAAATGTACTGAATTCTCATTTTTTTTTGTATTTTTGGTATTTAGCGAATTTTTAAAATGTTTTTTTCAATTTTTTTTTTACTTTTTAGATATATATATGTTAGGTATGTCTAAAAATTAAAAAATTGCTCAAAATATTAAAAAAATTCAGTAAAAACAAAAAAATACGAAAAATACGAAAATAGAAATTTTTGAAAAATATTTTTAAAAAATGATAACGAAGCATACTGATTGCTTCCAATAACCTTAAAATTTTGACAATCTACTCAACGTATAACAATGTCAAATTATAGCAGCTACAATAAAAAGCTGCATTTTTGGTTCAAATTGCTACATTACAGCCACAACAATTCTTTTTTTGGTCCAGAAGCTCTGGCTTTTGGACTATAATAAGGGATGTCATTTGACTTGAAGATTTGCGGCTCAGCCTGGCTCCGCCCTGTTAGACTTTTTCCCAATCTAGATTCATATCTCAAGTGGGCTGGCCCAATCAAAATAAGATTTGGTTTAGATCTAGGCCTAGGAACCTCTGTCCGTCCTCAAGCAAATAGAAATGGGTTTTGTTTACACTAGTTCTCGAAAAACTATCTTACAATGGAACAAGTTTCTTTTCAGTCTTAGTTTGTGGATTGGAGAAAATTGTTCAAGTTTGTACGGCCTATTATGGGTCTTACTTCAATGGTTTAAATTATTTATTTTTAATTTATGGAAAAATTAAATCAATAAAATAACTGTAATCACGTACTTCAGGATATTCAATTGATCTTTTACATAAATGATTTACATGTGATCTGAGAAATTATTGATTCAGATCATTGATTTGGGACTTGCTGTTGGCCCATGAGCATGAACAACTCTGTCCAGTATACATGGAGAGAAACTGTTCCCCTTACACAAATACCATGCATTATTAGTGGTTAAAAAAAAAATATGTATATATATATATATAAGATGAAGGAATACCCACAAAAAGACCAAATTTAGGGTATTCAGCTGGATCACAAACCCGCACTATGAGCCCACCCAAGTCAAGCCCATTGAGCAGGGCTTGGAATGAACATTTTGGCCATGGCCAGATTTGGTCGGAACCTGTGAGGAAAAGTCCATTGGGCTTAGCCCATGGGTGGACTTGGATTGCATTTTCGCTGGTTGGCCTAGATCGGCTCAATGTCTTGGCTTAGTATAGTAATTTTTTAAATTTGGATTGTAGCTTTAGTGGTTATGAGAGGAGTACATAGATATCGGTAGGATGAGGTCTTGCTTTTGAGTTAATGGAATAACATCGGAGGATTTTAGGAATCTAACTCTGTTAATATATTAAAAAAATGCCTAAGACCCTAGTGGGGTCACTTGGGGGTCATGCGTGTAGAGACACCATTGACCCAAAAAAAAATTTGTTTTTTTTTTTTTTTCAATGAACGGGAGTCCGCCGCGTTACTGGGGTCGACCCCCACTGGGAGTATTTAGTAGCGCTGTAATATATTAGCACCCTAGTGTATGTCCCAAAAAAATCCATGCTTTTGTCAGTAGTTTTTAAAATTTTTTGGTTCTCTATAGATTTGAAATCTCATAAAAATTAAAATAAAAAATTGGATTAAAAAAAAAAAAAGTTTAGTAAAGTTGATTTTCTTGTCTTTTATGTTTTTCAATAAATTTTCTTTCTTTTTTATCTTTACTGAGTTTTTACTTAAATTCTAAAAATTTCTAGTCTAGAAGCAACCTAAAAAGTCAAAATAAATAAATAAACTCATTTAACGCACAAAAATAAAATAAAATAAAATAAATTAAATTAGACAAAGCTATAAAAAATAAAAAAAATAAAAAAATCTACTACTATATTGCCTGTTGTTATCACTTTTTGGAACAAGTATACAAATCAGATGATATCAATAGACGTGACTTAGGCTTGATTTGAGAAGTTGTAAAAAAAAAGTCAGTTTTTTTTGCTATTTAATTTTTTTAACTAAAAAAGTCATATTTTTTCTTCAAAATAATTCAATTTTTTGCCAAAAATATATATATATATATATTAAAAAAATTAAAAAATTAACTTTTTATTAACTTCTCAAAACATCACTTATTATCATAAAGCCAAACTATCTGTCATTTCAAATATCACGCATAAAGTGGAGCGAAATGGAGAACCGACGTTCTCACATTCGGGTTTCAAAAGCCCCATTCATTTATGACGTAGGGGTGTTTTCAGAAGTTAATAAAGAGTTAATTTTTTGATTTTTTTTTTTTTTTATCCAAAAGTTAACTTTTTAGGTAGTGATTTGGATAAAAAAACCTAACGTTTTTAGCTAAAAAAATTAAAAAATCAAAAAAATTAACTTTTTTTGGATGTTGCCAAAGCACTCCTCAGTACAATAGAAGTCCGAAGAAGATCATACATATCTTCTGCATCAAAAGGCCATGCCTTCAAATGACCTGAACAGGACAAAAGTCCAAGCCTGCAATGATTTGGTATTAGATTGTTCGCGGTTCGGTTACGGTTGAAAGTTGTTTAATTCGCCATCTGTCTTTTGAATTGGTGAATTAAAAAAAATTAATTCTTATCTATCCGCCGGATTAACCGATGCGGATTGAGTGGATTGATGGATCGATGCGAATTGGTTAGGCAGTTTAAATTTTTACAAATTTTGAACATAATATAACAATATGTCAACATTTTTTTATTTATTTTTATTTATAACAATCCAACTAAACATAACTAAAAAATTATTAAGTAAATTATCAAATATCAATAATAAATACGTATACAAAAATCATGCATTATCAAAATTATTTCATTACTTTTTTTTTTTTTGCTCAAAAACTATTTAATTTGATTGTTTAAAAAAATAACAAAATTAAGGCTTATATGTTCCACACATTTTTTTTTTTGCTCAAAAACTATTTAATTTGATTGTTTAAAAAAATAACAAAATTAAGGCTTATATGTTCCACACAAAAATACCAAATATCAATACTTGGCATTTGATAAAAAGATTTCTAAATTGAAAACATAATAGAGTATCTAAACTCTTTTTCAATTGAAAATACAAATAGAATATCTAAACAAATTAAAAATACAAAGTCTTACAAATTACTAGGGGTGTTTGCGGTTTGACGGTTAGGTTGTGGCCAAATGAACCCCAAATCTGTCATCCGTTCAAAACTGGGCAGATTAGAAAAATCAATTCGCAACTGTCCGCTCGTCATCACGCATCCATTCAAAATGCAATAGATTGGTTCGGTTCAGTCTATTTGGACAGATCAAAATATCCGCTACTCACCCCTACTTGGTACAACCAGAATTAAAAGCCCAACTTTTTCAGTGACTTGGCACACTAAAAATCCTAGCCCGAAAAGGCCCATTTCAATCATTTAAAGCCCATTCAGCAACAACCCACGAAAGTATGGGACCAAACAGCCAAATAATTCCCAAAGGTCATTGAGGGAGTCCAACAGCTGCCCAAGGAGGAAAAATGCTTTCAAAATGCCCATTCTGGTCCCATTCAATAGGAAAAACAAGCCCAAACAAAGGCATAACATCTATATGGAAACCCAATTGCTTCATGGACTTCGACCAACAAACAGCAACGAAGGCATACAAAAAGCACACAAACAACATAACCAATGCTTATGTTGTTCAAAAATATATATCAGTCGTGCTATGTAGCTCGACAAAACTAGTGCTCGAATGGCCCGAATTTTTTTTTTCGTTTTCCTTTCCCTTTCTTTTTCTTGCCTTTTACACAGTTTCCTCTCTCTCTCTCTCTCTCTCTCTCTCTCTCAAAAACAGAATTCCACAATCCAAAATCAAGATCCAAAACCAATCCCAAAATCGAAAACAAAATCAGAAGATAAAGAAGATGAAGAAGATTGAGAGAGAAGAAAGAGAGAAGAGGAACCGAGAGAGAAAGAG